AATTTAAAGCAGTGCTTTAAAAAAAAAAACAAGGACAGGAGACATTATGAAGGAAACATTAATTGCTCCTGGCAAATGATGAAAAGCAGGTGAAAGAGAGTGGCGGTATAGGATTAATCTGGAACCAGCAGAGGAGCTGGTCTCCAGGGAAGAGTGACTCTAAGAGATACTGCTTTTGACAGCCCAAGCACAATATCCAAATTGGCAGTGGCAAATAGGGGTCTAAACTTTAACATATGAGTTCTACATGAATTTGAAAACTTGTTATAACTTGAGATAACTCATAACTGATTTAGCACAGATCTGAAATTATAAAAGAAAATGACATCGTCAAGGGATGAACGAGAGAAAGAGAAAATGATTTTTAAAAAACCTTGACAGATGACATTTACTGTTATATGATTCTAAGGGAAAGAGGACAGATGAACAGAAAAGAGAGAGGGCAGGATGGTGCACAGTTGCAGAAACCAAGGGACCCCAGAGATCAAAATGATGCTAAGGAGGCTGATGGAAATGTGTCCAGTGGGTGTGCTAATTGTCAGTCTTTCTTAAGCAATTACTAAATCAAGGGATGAATACAAAATTAAATCGCAAAATGCAGACCAAGGTGTTGTGGTTTAGTGCTAAAATGTTCCCCAAAGTTTCATGTTCAGAGGTGCAGCCTGGTCAAGAGGGCAGACCACCGAGGAGGGATGCTTTAGACAGATGTATTCTTGTTCCTAGCTCCACCCTTCTCTCTCTGCTTCCTTGCCACCATGATATGAGCAGCTCTCTTCTTCCAAACCACTTCTGCTTGAAAGTGCGAGTCAAAATGAACCTGGTCTCCTTTACAGTGCAACTGTTGAGTATTTTGTCCCGGTGACAAGAAACTGATTAATACAATGTGCATGTGAAGAAAAGGGTTTAGCAGCTTGCGAGAACTATAAAAGTATGAAGTCCAGGGCTGAGATGAGTGCTAATCTGGAAACCACTCCAGGAAATGTTTGATTTAGAACAAGGTGCAAATCTAAGCATTAGAGAGCAGAGCCATTGAAGACAAATAACTATGGGAAGATGGGAAGGAGATAACTGATGCAGGAAAGAAGTCCAGAAATCAATAAGCAGTGGAAATACAAATTCAGTGCAACCTTGGCAGCCAAGGAGTGACAAAGAGGTGTGGCTTATCAGTGCTGATATGTCTTGTTCACACTTCAAAGAATGGTTTTGAGAGCAGGAACATTCTTTCCCCATCTGTAATGGGAACAATGCTCTAATATCTGGCCAAGGGCGGAACAGTGTGGGAGGATCCGCCAAGCCCTGGTGACCATGCTGGTATCTGTTCTCTCCATCCATTCCTACAGTATCTTTCTGTAAGAGGTAGACAAGTATTATTCTCCTAATTGGGAGGGCCAGCAATCGAAGCACAGATGGAGATGACAAGGTCAAAGTCAGGAGAGAGGCTCCTGAATAGGTCACACTGCCCTGCCCAACATCACAACCTTTGACCTCCCAGCCTTGACCCAGAGGAAAGCTGGTAGAGATTACTCACGGTGCAGAAGAAAATCACTTGACCCTTTGAAGTCCTTTGCATCTGACCTTGGGGTTTTTCCTTGACATTGAACCACAGAGTTCCAGGGGACCAGGGAAAGGGAAAAAATGGGTCAAGATATAAAGGATTTCAGATTCTTTACTATCTCTTGAGATATCCAGACTTTTCCAAGGGCATGCAAAGTGACAATAATCTTTCTAGGCATTAGGAATTATACTTAAATAGCCAGTCCCTTACATGATGATAAAATAAAGGCTTGCTGTATACCAGTCACTTTACATGTAATTATCTTGTAATTGTATCGAGAATCTTGGGATGAAGGCAAAATCATCTTCCCTCTCATCTATAAAGAGGAAACTGTCTTGGAGAATGTGAAGAACTGGGCTGCTCCTGAGAGGTGGGCTAGGTCCTGACTCACAAGTCCAGGGGTTAAGACCCATTCAGGCATGTGTGCAGGCCACTTCTCCTCATCCTCCCGGAAAAACAGAAAACATGGTTTGAATTTTATAATTGTATAACAGCAGCTCTACAGTTGGTTAGGAACCACTTATGGTCTAAATGAAAATGTTACATATTTGTTCATCTGTTTAAATCAATGAAGAATAGTGTGATAAGCCATTTGGGCCAAAATCTGACTCAGCAGCTCACTGGCTTGTCCCCAACTTTCTTGTCCTCAGTACACACGCAGGATAAGAAGAGATAGAAAGACTTTGCATGCACAGAAGCAAATGCAGTGCCTTCTACACCTGCTCCTATCCCTGTGGTGATCACTCGAGGCAGTGGGTCCTTGGGCTGTAGGACAGTTCGAGTCCCTAAACAGCAGTTCTCAAGGTGTGGTCCAGGAAATCCTTTTGGTGCAATCCAGATACTTGGCTAACATGCAGACTTCTGGGGCCTGGTCAGAACTACCGCCCCAGTGCTTATGTATTAGAGGGGTGTGATGTATCCAAAGACCATTGAATGTTAAGAAGCTGGCGACTGTTGGTGCTACAGATTAAGCATGTTCCTCAAAAGCTTTTGTGTTGGACTGCCCTCCTTTTTAGAGTCACTCTAGCCACCACTTGAAATGATTCACGTGAAAACACTTCTATCATATGAAACAGGGAAGGTGTTTATTTAAAAAGCCAGTTCAATCCTATTGCCATTTTCTGATCAATTCCTTCAAACACACCCCTCTCTCATACCTCTCAATCAGGATGTCATATTTAGCCTGAGCCCTGTGACTGGTTGAAAGGGTGCAGTGCCTCGGGCTACAGGGACCACTGCAATGCTCTGGACTGTGGTGTTGGCAAAGTGTGCTGCTCTCCTGCAGGAGCCGGCTGGGAGACGACACCCTGGCTATGACATAAGCACTCCCCACCCCCTGGAACTGGGGAGCTGGGGGGGCTGAGGCGTGGTCTCTCTGGGCTGCCTTTTCTGTGAAGTAGACAGAGTGTCTCATGGTTTCCTATATTCTATTCTCCCAGATATTTGAAATACCAAACTTCAAGTGGAAGTGTCTTTACTAAAATAGGAATAATAATTATATGTAAATCAAAATATCTGTAGCACTAAAAATACTAAAGACAATTCCAGTGAACCAAACTCCAACACAATCATTTGAATATTTAACTGGTAACAAGAATTTATCAATCAATGTGTGTCCAAAATGTTTTTGTGCTGTTTAGCACAAAATGTTTTTGGTATTTTGTGCAATATCTGCAGTGAACTTGGACTACTGTCATGGTGAAAAAGAAAGAGGGTTCAATTAGAAACTCTCGGCATATAGAACATAGCATGTTTTCTTATTTTTGCCAAAAGGAACACAGGAATGATAAGCTTGGAATTCATGAGTGGGTAGAGACGGGGTGAGGAGGGAGAATCAGTGAGACTCCTAAGAATTCAATATTCCTCTCTTATCTCTGGTTATATAGTTTAGGACTCCAGTGGGTCCCCAAATCCTCAAGTTGTCTCCTCAAGTTGTATGTTATCTGACTATATGAATTACCAAAATATTTACATACAACATCTGTTCTCTGCACATATACGCCTACAGTAAAGTTAGCTCTATAAATTAGGTGTGGTAGAGCTTAAAACTATAACTGAAGTAGAATAATGATAGCAGTCACTGTAATCAAGACTGTGTGGATGTGGTTCCTTTCTCTCAAAATATCTATTCCACTGCACTCACCTTGCTCTTGTGGTGCTGTAAGGTGGTACCATGCTTGCATGGTGAGAATGACATGGGCATTGTGACAGGCCACTACAGGAGGTCACTCTGCCTCGTCGGTCAGTCTGATAACTGACACGATTAAGGGACTCGGGGTGTGTATCGCATACAGCGTGGGTGTGCTGGGCCAAGAGGTGATTCGCGTCCTGGGCAGAATGGAGCAAGATGACCTGACACCTTATTCTGCTACCCAGAACACAACGCAAAATTATGAATTATTTTTGGAATCTTTCTTTTCCTACTTTTGGACTGTAGTTCACTACAGGTAACTGAAACTAGAGTAAAACAGTCTGTGAAAGGTGACTGCTGTATGGTTTTTATATTGTTTTGATCACTGAAACACATAAATGTTTTACATATTCAAAAAGCAAATTTAAACCAAAATAGTTTTTGGCCTCTAAAATTTCTAATATGAACAGAAGCCAAAAAAAGCAAATATAAGTTAAATTGATAGAAACAATGACACAAAGGAAAGATATACTTCAAGTAACTTGATTTTAAGTAACTTTTGATTCTAGGTAATTCTCTTCATATGTCTATCATGCAAACATATTCTCGGGCTAAAACAATAGTAAAGAAAGCCGAAACTTTGCCATCTGGCTTTGGAGATAGTAGTGGCAGAAACACAGGTCAGGGTTCATTTTGCAGGACCACCTGACTCAGCTACCTATTGTCCAGGCACTTCCCCAACTGTTCTCCCCAGTGTGTCCATGAGGGTGTTTCTGGAGGAGATCAACACGGGACTCAGTGGACGGAACGAAGCTGAGGGCCTCAGCTGGGTCTGTGGCCTTGCATAATCAGCTGAAGTCCGAGCAGAAGAAGAAGGCTAACCTTGACTGCCTCCAGGAAGTCCTCCTGCCTGTCTGACCGCTGTTCAGTGGTGTTGACCTCTCCCCTTTCTCATGTCTCCCCAGACAGAAGCAGCCACCTTCCTGGCTCTCCTGGTGCCAGCCTTCAGTGCCCTCTTGGCTCCATGTCTCCAGCCTGCCAGCTGCTGGTCTTGGGGTTTTCAGTCCCATAAGTGCGTAAACCGATTTCTTATAGTGAAACCTTTTTCTGTGATTCTGACTGACACATCGCTGTAATTCTATTTTTTTTTATATCAGATGCTGTGCTGCTGATATAAAAGCAGTGACAGCCTTATGTCACTGTAATTCTAAAGCAGTTTTATTTTGTTTTATATAAATCAAATATGTAAATATATTAATCTATTTAGGAAGAAAAGTTTTCTCCATAAAACAAAAGATGAAAACAGAAACTTTATCACTTTGGCAGCACATATACTAAAATCGGAATGATGCAGAGAAGATTGGCATGGTTTCTGTGCAAGGATGGTGCACAAATTCACGATGCGTTCTATAAAAAATGAGAAACTAAAGGTAAGAAATATGCAATGAAACATGAGCACGAAACACTACTGAGAACTCCTTAATATTGCGGACATCTTGATGTGTGCTCACCAAGAAGGCTCCTCGAAATGAGTGCGCGAGAACCCAGATGTGGGGTTCTCAACACCGCCCCCTCCAGGGAAACCTAGGCTCTCTGGAGAGATGGGTGAGTTCAGTCCTGGGTCAGAGAAAGCACAAGATAAGCCCAGGAAAATCTGTACCCCAAAACAAGGTGATACTCAAAAATGGGGAGTCACATCCAAGGGACACAGGGCCCAGCTGGAGAGGCCACCACCAGTGACATCCAGGACAATGAGAGCATCCAGGAAGAGGGATGATGGGCCGTGTTTATAGCATATGTGTTTGTAAAGTCATGAATTTATAATTCCTAATTCATGTGTGATAGAGAAATGAAAAGAGATGGAGGGATCAGGAGAAACAATGACCTTCCCTTACAGATCCTCGCCTGATAGATGTAGAAAAGATTACAGAGATAAAACATCATTTTGCATTCCCAATATAATAAAGTCACACAGCTATGTCTACAACAGTTGCACAAAATATTGTAATAGGGAATCTACACAATCTCAAAATCTTTCCTGCAGTTATTCATCCACTGTAAAACCACACACAACCCAACAAAACCCCTCTACAGACACATTGCAAGGATCTGGGAGTCACAGCCTTAGCCAAAACAATCAAACTTGTGCCATGCATAGCATCATGTGCCCCTCAATGGGACACAGGGACAAGTCCTCAGCATCACCTCCGATATTCTTCCCACGGTTGTTTAGATTAATTCTAATCACACACTGAGACTGTATTCTGATTTACAGGAAGCAGCAGGAATGGAGTATGAGAAAGCAGATCAGTCAGAGGCTAGCGTGCAGGAATGCCACGTGAACTCTTTGAGAAAGACTGTGGTGACAGATAGAAAATGGAGCAGAGGGTTGGCAAGAAGCAAGAAGTGCTCACAGTCACCTGAAATGCCTGAACCTCAGCAAGAGCTAGAAGCGAGCAAGGGGACACAGACTGCGTGTGGGATGATGTCACAGCATTGCTCTGCACATCAGGGGCACGCTGATATCCCAGGGGTATAGGAAAACAGCTCACTCCAGGGAGATCTGTGCTCCAGTAGTCAGAAGGGAACTGTTGCAGTGACTATAATTTGCTTTCAAATAGTTCATCCCCAAAAGTGAGCATAGACCCAAAGAGAAAAAAAGGATGGGGACAAAAGGAGTACAGGGGGAGAGAGAGAGGAAGCAATTGGGGAAATGGGAGATCGGGGCACAGAATGGGGGTTTAATTGTATGAGTCTTTGGATGCTTGAAAATTATGGAAATAAACTGGAGAAACTGATTATACTACCTAGGAAAAGTTGAGTTCAGCTGCCAGAAGAAAGGCAAATGATTGCTCTGAGCTCTGAGATAAAAATAGTAACTTCCCTGCGGCTGGGAGGGACACAGGGCTGTGCTGCCACAGATCGCTCTGCCGTCTCCTTCATGTAAGAGTGTGAACCGAGCTGCGCTGCCCAGGGATTGCTGCTGGGACACGGCTGTCGCTAGACGGACAGCTTGCAGGATGGAGGACAGGGGCTCTTTTCAGAACACAGGGCATGGGGGAGGGGTCACAGAGGCCACAGCTCTGAGTGGGGAATCAGTGCCTGTGTCAGTTGCACACCCAGGATGGGAAGGCAGCGACATGAAGATGGAAACAGGAGTGTGGCGTGGATGGCTAAAATGTGGGCTCCCGGATGGGCTTCCTGCAAGGACACACAGTACAGTTCAGCTTCCCGGGTTCTGGGGAGCACTTGGCTACTGTCACCGGGGACTGTGGCCTCTTAGTGCATCTCATTCTTTCACACACCTTTCCTGTGTCCCCTGCCACACTCGTTTATCTCCAAGACAGCTCCTCTCCCTCTCCCACGCAACACTAAAAAGAAACACCCGGTGACGTTTCTCCAGGCTGACTGGGGACTGCCGGTCAGCTCAAGGACCCTCTGCTGCTCCTGGGAACTTGAGAAGCCAGGTGCACACATGACAGAGTCCTGACTGAGCACCAGAACCAGGGTGTCATCGCAAGACCCAGGGTCGCTATTCTTCCAAGTTCCCTGCTGAGCTGACTGTTTTAACTTAGTAGGAGTGAAAACCTCTACAGGCTTTCGAAAAGGTGTGGTCAAAGTTAAGTGGTTTAAAATAAACAGACGTACAGGCAAAATGTACAGATAATACTGTGATTGTTTTCCAAAGCTCAGCTGCGTGATGGAAGGGTGTGTGTGTGTGTGTGTGTGTGTGACAGAGAGAGACAGAGAGAGAGGGAGAGGATGGGACCTAGGACCTCTATCATTTGTCTTCACAGCTTGATCATTGTGGTTTGGTCTCAGTTTCTCCCATGAGACTCTGAGCTCCCCAAGGGCAGAAATCATGTTTGCACGAGTCATTGCTGGGCACAGAAAGATGCTCCAGAGAGGTCTGAGGAATGAATGAATGAATGAATGATACTCTCTGAGAGAATAAAGCGCTAGCTCTGGCTGATGATGTGACAATGGCAATAATAAAATATCCTCAGACTGGTTAGAAATCGCTCTGAAAGCATGCCTGTCTGACAGAAGGCTTCTCCCCATTCAGGTCTTTCATTCTTTTTAGTATATTTCTGTTTGGGAGTGATAGCTTCATTCCCACTTTCCTATAATATTTCATTTAAATAACTAGCTTTCATGTAGGCACTGTACCTAAACCTTACTTTCTACTCAGCTCTATTTGAAATGCAAAAGGTCTCCAAACTTGACTTTACCCCTGAGAAGCCCATGGTCATGTTATTATAAAACTCCAGGCTCACAGTGAACCTGGGCTGCTGGACCCAAGGCTGTGGTCGCAGAGTGGGCTACACTCCTGTGGAATACCGGAACTTCATTTTATACAGGAAGAGAGTTTGGTCACCTCGTGGTCTGGAGACTGAAGTCCAAGAAGCCTGGTGGAGACTCTGGCAAGGGCCACACTTAAAACAGAAGGCGGGGCCCCACTGAAAGGACAGAGGCAGCGCGATCTTAGGGCTGTCTCAGGGCCCTGCTCTTCCTCTCTGGGTCTCTCACGCTCATTTTGCTTCCTGGTTGCCACGAGGTGATCAGCTTTTCTCCACCAGGTCCTTCTGTCTTTATGTTTCTGTCTTCCCACAGGTCTCAAAGAAATGCACCAGCTGACTGTTGGCTTAAAACCCTGAAACTTTGAGCCAAAATAAACCTTTCCTTCTCGAAGCTGGTCACAGCCATGAGAAACTGACGAACACATAGTCCATAGGCTGATTCACCATCAGTCTTACCAGGGTACGTGCATGGCAGGAGAGAAACTCTAAATGTTACTCTCTGCACACGTCCCTTTTCAGGGTACACACCATTCTCGATGCCCCAATTTCCACAGATCCAGAATGGACACAAACAAGCAGCATGGCTGGGGTTGATTTCACTGAAGCCCTGATGAGGCGACTGATTTATATAAGTTGCATGTAGAAATTATTAATTTGCTCCCCAAAGAAAGTAGAAACAGTTTTGATACGGAACTATAACCCATATCATCCTAAAAGCAACTCCTGACATCCCAAGGGGCTCTCGGACCATACCTCAACAATTTTTAGTTTAGCAGTTTCTGAGATTTAATATATCACAAGCCAACACTGAAGCAGAGCTCACGTAACTCAAGCGTGGGGACTCACTTTCCACTAAATGTCAATTACTACCACGAGAGGGCACTTGCTGTGGTGATGACGCTACCATCACCTGACTGTGGGCTTCATGGGGGGGGCACGACCTCTAAGGCTCACCTTGAAGCCACCCACAGGCCTTTCCTTATTTAAATGAATAAACTATTAATCCCTGCATATTGATCCACCAGCAGTGGACACATAGCCTCTCCACGTACCTGTCATCCTTAGTGTGGGCAGGCACTTAAGACATGGTCACTGGGGAGGTGGCACTGAAGTGGCTGAGGCTAAATCATTTCCTGGCTAGGTGAAATGATCACTCCCCTTCTTCATCTGGGACTTATAAATAAGGAGAGGAACAAATAGAAACACAATCAGAGGTCAACTGGCACTGGAATTGCAGGCGTGAGCAAGCACTAGCAAAAGCAGTGTATGCCTGAAAAGCGTGATGTTCCAGCTGGCAGCCGAGGTCTCGTGGCAGGCCAAGATGGCACAGCTGAGCACTCTTCACTGGGGCTGCTCCCTGAGGAGCACAACCATCAGTCATAAGTTCGAGACAGCAGGGACAGGTGTTGGGACCACAGTGGGCCCATCCTTGGACTTGGCTCAGCCTGGAGTCCTGGGAAGCCAAGGAGGCAGCTTTGCAGGGGAAAAGGTAGAAAGAGGATCACGTGCCAGGAAGCAGCAGGGAGCCAGGCACCGGAATTCACAGGCTCTGCCGAAGACTTCCTGCTAGGCTGCAGCAGAATCCAACCCGCGTGGAAGTGGATGCCAGGAGCAACCCACTGCCTCCCACAGCGAGACAGAACTGAAGAAGACATGATGCCCGAGCCTCTGGCCCGACTCCTCAGGATTCGAGACACATGGTCTTCTGGCGCTCCAGCCCTGCTCCTGACCTCACAGGAAGGGAAATGTTGTAGGGATACTTTGCACATCAGAGGGCTACAGCCCAGAGCTGAGGAAAGCATGTCAAGCTTCCAAAGGAAGCTCCGTGTGCTCGAACACGTCCTGGACTGCCCTGCAACCTGCCAGGACCACCTCCCTTAATGTACTGTCACAGAAAACAAAGCCTGGAATTTTAATAGGGACTTTCTGTTACTTGCATCCAAAAGCAGAGTAGCTAAAAGTCGTGTACAATGTACTGCTTTTGAAATGCAAAGAGGTTAAAAAAAGCAACACAATGCATCTGCTTATAAATTCATAAGCTTTAGAACAGTTAGTGATAATGAGGGGAAGCTTTGCTTTCAGAGAGAAAGCCCACTGTTGTGGGGTAAGGTGGATG